CCTGTGGGTGCTTGACAACACGAGCGCTCTCCACAGCTTCGTGAGTGGCAGGTGCGACCATGCTACCCTGGACCGGAGCGTCAAGCTTATGAATTTCTTCAAGGCGCGCGCCGCGAGGGCAAATCGCGGGGGGACGCGCCGTGCAGCGTGTCGCGCCAGTTTCACTGCGACATGTCCACCTGGCTCGAGTGGGTAGACTCGAAAAGCAACTGGTCGGACGGGATCTCACGGCGCGCCGTGCGCGCGCGGGGGCGGCCTTCCCCCGAGTCGTCCACTCGCGCGGTGCCAGGCGGCTCGGCGAGGATAGCTTCGCCCGGGAGAATGGTTTTCGTACCGGCGAGGTGAGAGTGGACCCGGCCGCGTGGCGCGGGTGCTTACTAGACGCGTGGCGTTGGGTGCTACGGCGCGCGGAAGGCGCGTTCCGCGAGGGCAATTCGCGGGGGGTGGGCCGCGGCGTGCAGCGTGCCGCGCCAGGCTCAGTGGATTCGCCGTAAAGAAGGAGTCCGCGCAGGAGAGGTGAGCGCGGGCCCAGCCGCGGGGCACGGGCATGCCTCAGACACGGGGCGCCGTGTACATCGACGCGCGATTGCGGAGCGGCGTCGGACCCAGAACAGCGTTGGGGGTGCAGAAACGCGGAGCCAGAGCAGCGTTGGGGAGAGCGGCATTACTGGCGAGCCACGCCAGGGTCTTGCCTTCTTCACGCAGGCGTTCCATTCGGGGGGTTTGGTCACCCCAAGGTCGTTCTGCACCCCCGGAGCACCGTTGCACTTTCTGGGGTCGGGGGACGGGGTATGGGTTGGGGGAATGGGTGGGAGGATGGGGCCGTCGCGCGCCGTGTTCGCAGGTGGAGCGCGCGCGCGCGCGGAGGAGCGGGCCGCCCGCGTGCGCTTCGCGCCGCGGCGGGGCGCGTGCGATTCGCGGCGCGCGAAAGTTGCCAGGGGCCGCGCAGGGCGCGGCGCGGGGAATAGGCTGTCGGTGATTATGCGTTGACTTTAGGCTCGGGGAGGCTCGGGTCAGGGAACCATAATCATGACAGAAGGGGACGCCCGCGCGCGCTCGCAGGGACTGCGCGCATCAGAGCGCGCAATTGGATCGTGCGAGCAAAGCGCGTTGGCGACAGCGGTTGCTGTTGGTTTGTTTCCCACCCACCACACCCTGGGCCCCGGTGGGGTTACCGGGGAGAATTTGGGATGGGCGCCGGCGTGGACTTCGCCGTGCAAGAGGCGATGCGCACCGGCTGCGAGGGGTCCTGCCTCGGGTCGGCCGAACGTGTGCGTCGCAGGTGCGAGAACGCCGCGCAGGTCAGCGCGCGCGGGGAGGGGGCCTTCCTTCCCTGGTGGCCGCTGGCAGCGGTCGCATCACCAGGTGCAACGTCTGACAGGTGCGCGACATGTTTTGCGCGCGCGAACACGCCCGCCGTATCCCGACCCCCGGTGGGGTGCTCGGGTCGGCGAGGGCGGCGCCGGACGCCGGCGGTGTTCGCTTTCCCCGTGGGGGGAGCGGCATTACTGGCGAGCCACGCCAGGGTCTTGCCTTCTTCACGCAGGTGTTCCATTCGGGGGGTTTGGTCACCCCAAGCAAGGTCGTTCTGCACCCCCGGAGCACCGTTACACTTTCTGGGGTCGGGGGACGGGGTATGGGTTGGGGGAATGGGTGGGAGGATGGGGCCGTCGCGCGCCGTGTTCGCAGGTGGAGCGCGCGCGCGCGCGCGGAGGAGCGGGCCGCCCGCGTGCGCTTCGCGCCGCGGCGGGGCGCGTGCGATTCGCGGCGCGCGAAAGTTGCCAGGGGCCGCGCAGGGCGCGGCGCGGGGAATAGGCTGTCGGTGATTATGGCTGCTGCTGGGGATTGCCAACCTGACGGACAGCCCAGGTGCCAAAAAGAGTCGCTTCCAGTTAGAAAACACGCACGACATCACAGGAGAGACCCGATTGCGGATCAGCTCCTGGGCAGATTCTGCCCAGAGTCACTGCGCCGACCCGCGGCGACCGTTGGCGCCTGGGGAAACCCCAAGTTCTTCATTCAAGGCACCAAGTGAGAGCACTTGGCATCATCCGCCACGGGCTGTCCTGCCGACAAATGCGCAAAAGCATGGGGCAGATCTGGCAGACAGTGCGGATGACCGTGCCTGCCGCGGGGCCCAAGGATTCGGTCTGGCCTGCGTGCAGACAGCGAGGTCTTCGCATTCACTCCGGTCCCATTATTGCTGCGGGATTGGGTCAATGTCTTGCGTTCTGCCGACGACATTCGTCTGACCGGGGGCTTCGACGGCACCATTCCGACCATATGCATAATCAAACTGGCGGGCCAAGCCGATCTCCGCGTCAACAACATGCGGCAGAGTCCCGAGTAGTTTTGTGCACGGGGCCAGCCCGAGATCCAGTCGAGCATGGCAGACCTTCAGAGGGGCTGGTTCAAGCCCTGCAGAGAGTATGCCTTCGGAACCAATGCGTTCGATGGGCCTCTCGACGAAGAGGCATGCGTATGTCTCATGATGGATGCGGGAACGATGTCTCTTCAAAACGAGGACCAAACACCACAGGATGGTCGGGGAACAAAACATCGGGGGAGGATTGTTTGATTTATTTTTGACTATGTTTGAATACTTCTTGGCTGTGGTTTTGATTTTTCCAATAAGTCCGCCTGCAGGAGGACATGTCCGACCTAAGGCCAAAAGGGAGAATTCGTGGGCCCCGGAAGCCCTCCCCCACAAGACGGCCCTGGACGCCCAGCTTGCCCCCGCGAGGCCACCAAGAGGCCCCCCCAAGGAGTTCCCGCAGGGCCCCCCGAAGCCCCGATGAGCTCTGAAGAGGCTTCCTAGAGGCCCCCCCCAGGCTGAAACCCTGCCGCGCCCATACAGACGCGCCCCCTCCCTCCAATCCTCCCCGTATACTCGCCTTCTGGGGCGTCCTGGAGAGCCCTCATCGCCACGGCTGGATTCGCCTCGGACTCCCAGTCAGCACGCACTCGAGGAGAGGTCCTGAGAGTAGTGACGCACACGCCGCGCACGCCGCGCACGACGACGACGACGACGCGACGCGACGACGACGACGACGACGACGACGACGACGACGACGACGACGACGACGACGACGACGACCACGACGACGACGACGACGACGGCGACGGCGACGGCGACGGCGACGGCGACGGCGGCGGCGGCGACGACGACGACGACGACGTCGACATTCGAGGTTCGAGGATCGCAGTTTCTGCACTCTGGTGGCCCTTTTGGGCCTCCGATGGCCTTCGCGGGGGCCTCTGTGGCCCGGATGCCCTGCGGGCGCAAGACTCTCGGGAGTCCGCGCGCCTGACCCAGACCCCCTGGAGTAATGAAAAAATCATGACGGGAGGTTTTTCCTAATTTTCGGCCTTTGGGGGCCCTCGCCGGGCCTCGGGAGCGTCAAAAAACGACTCAGGATGCAAAGCCGGTCATGGGGAAAGGGTCGGGACCTCTGGGGGTCGACGTGATGAAAAAATCATTCCGTCGGGGGTCTGGGGATGCAGCGTTCAACCACCCACGCACGCCAGGGCTGCTCCCCTCCCCCCCTCCGCTCCTGCGTGCACTCGTCCTCGTCCTCGCCCCGGTCCTCCACAGAAAACGAGAAGACGAGCACACGAGAAAACGAGCCAGGGTCCCCAGACCCCCGACGGAATGATTTTTTCATTACGTCGACCCCCAGAGATCCCGACCCTTTCCCCACGACCGGCTTTGCATCCTGAGTCGTTTTTTGACGCTCCCGAGGCCCGGCGAGGGCCCCCAGAGGCCGAAAATTAGGAAAAACCTCCCGTCATGATTTTTTCATTACTCCAGGGGGTCTGGGCCCGAAGAAAACGACACCACGACGCCCCTTCGGGGCCGCGGCGCGTTGCCGGCCTCTTCGCTGGCGCAGGGCCGACCCCTCAGCAGTCGTCGCCTCCGGGGCGTGGCCTGCGGGCCTCGCTCCCCCCTTTTCCGGAGGCCCCGGCCGCGAGGCCGCGCCCCCGCTTTGCCGGGCGGCCCCGAAAGAGGCAGCTGGTCGTCGTCGTCCTCGTCCTCCTCGTCGTCCTCGTCCTCGTCGTCCTCCTCGTCCTCCTCGTCCTCCTCGTCGTCCTCCTCGTCCTCCTCGTCGTCCTCCTCGTCCTCCTCGTCGTCCTCCTCGTCCTCCTCGTCGTCCTCCTCGTCGTCCTCCTCGTCGTCCTCCTCGTCCTCCTCCTCGTCCTCCTCGTCGTCCTCCTCGTCGTCGTCCTCGTCGTCGTCGCCGGCGGCGGCGACGTCGTCGTCGGCGGCGGCGTCCGGCACGTTCTCGGCGGGGCGGGGCCGCGACGCCTCGGCCGGCCGCCTCCAGGGGCCACCCAGGGCCTGGCTCGCCCTCGGGGGCCCCGGCCGCGGCGGATCGTGCCCCCGCCGCCGCGCGCGCGCCGCGGGCGCCGCGAGGCTTACGTCGGAGCCCCGAGTCATCAGGGGCAACTCGGGTCAGGGATAACTCGGGTTCGTTTTTCGGGAACCCAAACCCGAGTTACCCCGGACCCGAGTTACTCCGGATAACTCGGGCGCCCAGAGCCCCGAATCATCAGGGGCAACTCGGGTCAGGGCCTTCTCGGGTTCGTTTTCCGGAAACCCAAACCCGAGTTACCCCGGACCCGAGTTACCCCAGATAATTCGGGCGCCCGGAGCCCCGAATCATCAGGGGTAACTCGGGTCAGGGATAACTCGGGTTCGTTTTTCGGGAACCCAAACCCGAGTTACCCCGGACCCGAGTTACCCCGGATAACTCGGGCGTCCAATTATGTCGGGCCTGCCCCCTACAGGGGGATTTTCGACGACAGATCAAAAGCATGCTAAACATGCCCCCCAAAGATGTCAAAAAGTATCCAACAAAAAGAGTCCCCAGACCATGTTTCGATTATTGTTTGAGCATGTTGGGGAGGTGTTCTTTTATTTCTCGTCGAAATAATCTCCTGGAGGGGGACACGCCCGACATAGCGCGAGGCCCTTCTGCGGCGGGCGCTGCTGGTGACCGATGTCGTCGTCGAGCAGCGGCAGGGGGCTCGAGGCGGCCGCGCGCGGCGCCCGGGGCTCGAGTAAGTAGGGGATCGACTACAGAATTGATTTACCCCAGCATTGACTTTCTCGTTGTATCTGTGGACAGATGCTTGGAGCTCCCAGCAGATTTGCGAACACTGCGCGCACTCGTCGCAGATTCGGCGGGAGGTCAATGCTGGGGGTGAGTCCACTCTGTGGCCGAGCCCCTCGTCGAAGGGCCGCCCTCGAGGGAGGGGCGGGGGATCCACGGGAGCGAGGGTCGAGATCCCGAGGCCACGGCGGGGCCTCGCTGGCGCGCCTCGTCCTTGCCTTACGCCTCACAAGGGGGCTGCTCTTTGTTGCGGTTTGGGCCCGCCTCGAGAATGAGGAGGGGAGAACACACACAGACACAACGAATCGTCGACCCCCAGGAAAACATGGGAAAATACTGGAGTTGGGCGGGAAGACAAAAAAATCCCAGAAGGTGTGGGAAACTATGGGGAATCTTTTCATTTGTGTGCACTTATTTGTGTGTCCTGGGGCCCCCTCAAAGGGAGCTTCTCTTCGCCGCGGGCGGGCCCGCCTGGAGAAGCAAGTCTGCGCGGGCCCTGGGAGGGGTCCCGGGGGGCGATTCTGAGCGGATTTGGGCTGGGCGGGCTCGGTCAGGCCTGTGGGGCGATGTCTTCGTGGTGGAAGGGGGAGGGGGCGAGGAAGTGCGCGCTGTCCCTTGGAGGATCGAGCTTTCTCGCGGGGTGCTTTCTCGCTGGGGGGCGGAGTTGTGGCCATGAAGGATGCTGAATGTCATGGCTCGTCTTGTTCTTTCAGCACGTTTCCTGGCCCCCCCTCGTCCGCGCACGTGGCTCAGGTCATGGCGCGCTAACCCCCCTCCTTCGGGCATCCCTCTTCCCGAAGAAACAACGTCATAAACATAAACTTTTGGCGCCCCGCGCGCCTTTCTGGGATCCACCCCCGGCGGCGCCTCCGGAGCCGCCTCTGGCGCGCTCCGCGCGCCAGGGAGGGGGGGTCCAGCGCAGACCCAAGAAGTCCGCGCAGAGCGCCAAACGGTCATGTTTGTGCCGTTTTTTCTTCTTCCATCTGCGGTGCACCTTCAGGATCGAGGTCAGAGGTTAGGGAGAGGAGGAGGAGGAGGAGGAGGAGGAGGAGGAGGAGGAGGAGGAGGAGGAGGCGGATGCGGAGGCGGAGGCGGAGGCGGAGGCGGAGGAGGATGAGGAGAGGAGAAGGAGGAGGAGGAGGAGGAGGAGGAGGAGGAGGAAGGAGGCGAGGAGGAGGAGAGAGGAGGAGGAGGAGCGAGGAGGAGGAGGAGGAGGAGAGGAGGAGGAGGAGGAGCGAGGAGGAGGAGGAGGAGGAGGAGGAGGAGGAGGAGGAGGAGGAGGAGCGAGGAGGGGGAGGATGAGGAGGAGGAGGGAGGAGGAGGAGGAGGAGGAGGAGGAGGAGGAGGAGGAGGAGGAGGAGGAGGAGGAGGAGGAGCGAGGAGGAGGAGCGAGGAGGAGGAGCGAGGAGGAGGAGGAGGAGGAGGAGGAGGAGCGAGGCTCTGGAGTCGATTGGGTGCTGGGGGGGCGCTCAGGGGTGCCTTCGCCGCCGCGCCGGGTCCGCCTGGAGGTGCGGGCGGGCGCCCAGTCCTGGACAGGTGTGGGCCGGAGGTCGATCCCGAGGGGGGGCGCCCATAATACGACGCCGAATGGCTGCATACTCTGGATCACATGATAATGGGGGAGGGGGGGTCTACTTTTTGGGGGGTTCTAGATCGAAACGTCAAACGATGCTTCTGGGGGGTCTGGATTTTGGTGCGATTGCGCCGCTCCTGGGGGGGGGGGTCCAAAACGAGCCGATAAACACTTTCTGTTGCCCCCCCCCCCACCCACCCAAACCCCACTATTGTGAGATCTGGAGTATCTACGAGCGCTCGGTTCGTTTACGGTAGGTTCGACGAAGAAATCCATTCTTGGGTACATCAATTCTGTAGTCGATCCTCCTACTCGAATGCCGCTGCGATCTCGCCAGACCTCTCCCAGGGTGCGCTCTGACCGAACTTCTGGGCAAATCCCACGGTGGCGACGAGGGCCTCCCAGGAGGCGGAAGAAGGGGAAAGCGTGACAAAAGGACAGCGGTATGGGCACCTCTTCCTCCTCTGAGGTGCAGCTCCGACTGCATCTCGGCGCCCGTGCTCGACTTATGTTGCTCCCATCGTACTTAATTTCGAGCGCCCAGAGAGGTATCGAAACAGTGTCGAACGAGTATCGCCTCCCAGGGCCAGACACGCGAAACTCGTCCAGTTTCGGTACCTTGGTGCTCGAAATTATGTCTGGTGATCGAGGCTAAGAATAGGTTGGAACATCGTAATGCTCGACCCGGATCGAGGGCAGGCTCCGGCAAGCACCGCGCTCGGGGGCAGCCTCCCCGGCAGGCCCTCGGGCGCGTGCAGGCCTGCAGGCGCGAGTGAGGCCGCACTGCCGCTCCTGGCCGCCTTCTGTGCTGCCAGAGGCGGCGAGGGCGCGGGCCTCACTAGGAGCCCCCAAACCCAGACGTCTGACATCGCCGTCCATTGAAAACCTCTGGGGGTAGGAAAGGGGTGTGGCACAGAGGGGTACGGTGCCCATCGTGGGAAGGGGGCGATGCTGTCTGCGAGGGGAATCACATCGCCGAGTCCCCTTGGCACAAAGTCAACACCACACCCCCTTATACCATACTTAGCCCTTTCCTGCCTCCAGAAAAACGTTGCTCCCCAGAGGTCTGGACACCTTCCCGGAGACTGGCTCCCCGCCCCGAGGCCCACGAGCCAATTGCAACACGGCGTGTCCCGTTGTGCAGGGCGCTGGGGAGACCTGGGCTAAAACAGGGCTAGGATCGGGACAAATCGCTCCAGAGCGTTCCGGAGCGCTCTCAGAGCGTTCTGGAACGCTCTGAGAGCGGCCGCGGCGCCCAATACATCCTCCAAACCCGCCGGTTCTCAGAGATTTCGAGTCATGCCGATCCGATGTCGTCCCGATCTTCGCGTCGTTTGGAGGCCCCCCGTGGGGCCGCCTCCTCCTCGTTGGCCGCCTCTCTTCAGCCGGACATGGGCACGAACCTTTGGCGCTCCGCGCGGGTTTCTTGGGCCCGCGCCTATAGGCCCCCCTGGCGGCGCCCGGGGCGCCGCCTCTGGCGCGCTCCGCGCGCCAGGGGGGTCCGGCGCGGAGCCGAGGAGGCCGCGCGGGCCGCCCAAAGTTTAGGCGAATTGTTGTTGATTGTTATCAGTGCTATTGTTATCAGAAGTGTCATTATTCCTATGATATATTGGTGTGTTGTTTCGTATGTGATGTTTTTGTTTCATGTTTTATTTTATGTATTTTATTCCTATGTGTATGTGCATGTTTATGTTTATGTGGTTTTGCTCCCCAGTCAGAGCTTGCCTCTGTATGGGGTCCTGGCGGATTAAAGGGTTAGGTGGGGTGCGTCGTCGATTTCGGTGGCCGGGCCCGGGTGCCCGGGTGCCCGGGTGCCCAGGTGCCCGGCGGTGCCCGGGTGCCCGGGTGGCTGGTGAGGTGCGTAGCCGATTTCGGTGGCCGGGCCCAGGTGCCCGGGTGCCCGGGTGCCCGGGGGTGCCCAATATCCCAGTAGCCCTACAGCCCTATAGCCCTATAGCCCTATAGCCGTATAGCCCTATAGCCCTATAGCCTTATATCCCTATAGCCCTATAGCGCTCCCTATAGCCCCATAGCCCATATAGCTCTATAGCCCTATAGCCCTATGGCCCTATGGCCCTATATGTCACAGTCCTATAGCCCTATAGCCCGATAGCCCTATAGCCCTATAGCCCGATAGCCCTATAGCCCTACAGCCCGATAGCCCTATAGCCCTATAGCCCGCCCTATAGCCCGATTGCAAAGGGAGCAATTGGATGATTAAACACATCTGATTGGTTTTTTCCTCCGGAATCATTATTCTTCTATTCAGGAGGCGGACGCCCACCCCACGCCCCCAGGCCCGACGCCCATTCAAGGGGCAGCGGTGTGGGCACCTGTGCTTCCTCTGGGCGGCCCGGCTGGGCAGTCCCCTGGTCCCCACCCCCAGGCGATTCAAGGGGTCGGGATTTGGGGGTGTGTTTTTTGTTGTGTGCTTCTTCCACAGCGGCTGGATAGGAACAAACAACGACACAGACATAGAAGCTCGGAGGTCCGTGCGGATTTCTTAGATCCGCGCTGGACCCCCCTCTCTGGCGCGCGGAGCGCGCCAGGGGCGGCGCCAGAGGCGCCGCTGGGGGGCTCCAGCTCCGATCCGAGAAATCCGCACGGACCTCCGACTTTTCAACTATATGTCTATGTAGCTTGGCCACACCTCAGAGGAGGACCAGGTACCCATACCTCTACTCCTCAGCCGTTTCCTTATTTTTCGGCCTCCCGGGAGACCCTCGTCGCCACCGCTGGATTCGCCCCGAAATCCTGGTCAGAACGGGGTCTGGGGAGTAGCGGTTCCAGGAAAGCAGGGGGGCGGCGGTGATTCGCTGCAGGCGTCTCCGAAGCAACGCCAGCCCCCTGCCTGTTGGCAGCGCCCGTTGGAGGCAGCCTGCCGCCGGCCTCCCGCCGCGCGGCCCAGGTGCCGCCGGGCAGATCCGCTTGCCGAGCCTCGGAGCGCGCGCGAGAGCCCTCGGCCTCCGGTCTCTGGACCACCCCAGACCCCCTCGAGTAGTGAAAAAATCATGACGGGAGGTTTTTCCTAATTTTCGGCCTCTGGGGGCCCTCGCCGGGCCTCGGGAGCGTCAAAAAACGACTCAGGACGAAGAGCCGGTCCCGGGGGAAGGGTCCAGACTTGTGGGGGTCGCGTCATGAAAAAATCATGACGTCGGGGGTCTGGGACCACCGGGAGGCCCTCTCGGAGGGGGAGGCCCTCGACAAACCTCAAGTCCGGGCGTCAAGGCTGCAACTGTAGCTTCCCCCCCCCCTGCCCCGGGGGGCCGCCGTCCGGGGCCTCCCGGGGCACCCCTGAGAGCGTCCAGGAGGCGCCTGCTCCTGCCGCCAGGAAGGGGCCTCGTCA